TGCCCATTGAATATGATGTTGGCTGTAGGTTTGTCATATATGGCCTTTATCATGTTGAGATATGCTCCCTCTATTCCAACTTTGCTGAGAGTTTTTACCAAAAACAGGTGTTGGATTTTGTCAAATGCTTTTTCTGCATCTATTAATAATATCATGTGATTTTTTTCTTTCAATTTGTTTATGTGATGTATCACATTTATTGATTTGTGAATATTGTACCAGCCTTGTATCCATGGAATAAATCCCACTTGATCATGGTGTATGATCTTTTTAATATATTGCTGAATGTGGTTTGCTAATATTTTTGTTGAGAATTTTAGTATCTATGTTCATCAGGGATATTGGCCTATAATTCTTTCTTTGTAGTGTCTTTATCTGATTTTAGAATTAGGACAATGCTGGCCTCATAAAAAGAGTCTGGAAGTGTTCATTCCTCTTGGATTTTCTGAAATAGTTTGAGGAGTATAGGTGTTAGTTCTTCTTTGAATGTTTGGAAAATCTTCCCTGTGAAGCCGTCCAGACCTGGGCTTTTGTTTGGTGGGAATTGTTTTTTTGTTTGTTTGTTTGTTTTATTTTTTATTTTTTATATTTTATTGATTTTTTACAGAGAGGAAGGGAGAGAGATAGAGAGTTAGAAACATCGATGAGAGAGAAACATCGATCAGCTGCCTCCTGCACATCTCCTACTGGGGATGTGTCCGCAACCCAGGTACATGCCCTTGACCGGAATCGAACCTAGAACCCTTCAGTCCGCAGGCCGACGCTCTATCCACTGAGCCAAACCGGTTTTGGCGGGAATTGTTTTATTACTGCTTCTATTTCATTGATTGTTATCAGCCTATTCAGGTTTTATGATTCTTCCTGATTCAGTTTTGGGAGATTGTATTTTTCTATGTCATCCACATTGCCGAGCTTGTTAGCATATAGTTATTCATAGTATATTCTTACAATGCTTTGTATTTCTGAAGTGTTTGTGGTTACTTCTCCACTTTCGTTTCTGATTTTATTTATTTGGGTCCTCTTTGTTTCTTGATGAGTCTGGCTAATGGTTTATCAATTTTGTTTATCCTTTCAAAGAACCAATTCTTGGTTTCATTGATTTTTTTTTGTATTGTTTTTTTTAGTCCCTATGGTATTTATTTCTGCTCTAATCTTTATTATTTCCTTCCTTCTACTTACTCTGAGCTTTTCTTGTTGTTCTCTTTCTAGTTAAATTGTAGGGTTAGATAGTTTATTGCTGATTTTTCTTGTTTTTTGAGGTATGCCTGTAGTGCTATGAACTTCCCTCTCTGGACTACTTTTGCTGTGTCCCATAGATTTTGGGTTGTTGTATGTTCATTTTCATGTTTCCAGGAAGTTTTTTATTTCTTCTTGATCTCATTGGTAACCCATTCATTGTTTAATAATATGCTATTTAGCCTCCATGTGTTTGAATGTTTTGGGTTTTTTACTGTAGTTGATTTCTAATTTCATTCCACTGTGATTTGAGAAAGTGGTTGATATGATTTCAGTCTTCCTGAACTTGTAGAGACTTGTTTTGTGCCCTAACATGTGGTCTATTTTTATGAATGATCCATGTGCACTTGAGAAGAATGTATATTCTGCTGCGTTGGGGTGAAATGTTCTATAAATGTCTAATAGATCCATCTGATCCATTGTGTCCTTTAGAGTCTCTGTTTCCTTGTTAAATTTTTGTCTGGGAGTTCTGTCCAGTGATGTCAGAGGGGTGTTAACGTCCCCTACTATGACTGTATTGTTGTCAATCTCTTTGGTAAAGTCCTCTAGAAGTTTTTTTTATATAGTTAGGTGCACCTATATTGGGTGCATATATGTTTACCAGGGTTATATCCTCTTGTTGGATCAATCCCTTTAGGATTATGTAGTGACCTTTGTTGTCTCTTGTGATAGCCTTCATTTTAAAGTCTATTTTGTCAGATATGAGTATTGCTACTCCAGCTTTTTTCTTTTCCACTTGCATGGAAAAATTTTTTCCATCCCTTCACTTTCATCCTGTGTGTGTCTTTGTTTTGAGGTGGGTCTCTTGTAGACAGCATGTACTTGGGTCATGTTTTTGTATCCATTCAGTTACCCTACCCCTTTTGATTGGAGCATTTAATCCATTTACATTTAGGGTTATTATTGAGAAGAACTTATTTATAGCCATTTTAATTCTGTATGGCTAGGTTCTCTCTCTGCTTCTTCTTCACAGCAATCCCTTACAGCAATACCTTTAGCATTTCTTATAATCCTGGCTTGGTGGTGATGAACTCCTTTAAGTTCTTTTTGTCTGGGAAGCTCTTTGACTGTCTATTTTGAATGATAGCCTTGCTGGATATAGTAATTTTGGTCTCAGATCCCTGCTTTCCATCACCTTGAGTACTTCATGCCATTCCCTTCTGACCTGTAGAGATTCTGATGAGAAATCAGGTGTCAGCCTTATGGGAATTCCTTTGTAGGTAACAGATTTCTTTTCTCTTTCTGCCTTTTAGATTCTCTCTTTATCTTTAATTTCTTGCAGTTTAATTATGATGTGTCTGGGCATGGTTCTATTTGTGTTCTTCTTGTTTGGGGTTCTCTGTGCCTCTTGAACTTGTGTAACTTTTTCCATTACTGGGTTAGGAAAGTTTTCTGCCATTATTTCTTCAAAATCCTTCTCTATTCCTTTTTCCATTTCTGCCTCTTCTGGCAGACCTGCTATTCTAATATTACTATGTTTCATGTTGTCCCACAGCTCCCTTAAGCTATCCTCATGTTTTTTTAATTGTTTTTTCTTTTTGGTTCTCTGATTGAGTGATATTTTCAATTCTGTCTTCTAATTCACTGATTCAATCCTCAGCTTCCCCCAATCTGCTGTGTATTCCTTCCAATGTATTTATCTGATAAGGGCCTAATCTCCAAAATTTATAGGGAACTCATACAATTTAACAAAAGGAAGATAAACAATCCAATCAAAAAATGGGCAAAGGATCTAAATAGACACCTTTCAAAAGAGGACATTCAGAAAGCCAAGAGACATATGAAAACATGCTCAAAGTCACTAATCATCCGAGAGATGCAAATCAAAACAACAATGAGGTACCATCTCACACCTGTCAGAATGGCTATCATCAACAAATCAACAAACGACAAGTGCTGGAGAGGATGTGGAGAAAAAGGAACACTTGTGCACTGCTGGTGGGAATGCAGACTGGTGCAGCCACTATGGAAGACAGTATGGAGTTTCCTCAAAAAACTAAAAATGGAACTCCCATTTGACCCTGTGATCCCACTTCTAGGAATATATCCCAAGAAACCAAAAACACCAATCAGAAAGGATATATGCACCCATATGTTCATAGCAGCACAATTCACCATAGCTAAGATCTGGAAACAGCCTAAGTGCCCATCAGTAGATGAATGGATTAGAAAACTGTGGTACATCTACACGATGGAATACTATGCTGCTGTAAAAAAGAAGGAACTCTTACAATTTGCAACGGCATGGATGGAGCTGGAGAGCATTATGCTAAGTGAAATAAGCCAGTCAATGAAGGAAAAATACCACATGATCTCACTCATTCATGGATAATAAAGACCATTACAAACTTTTGAACAATAATAGATACAGAGGCAGAGCTGCCTCAAACTGATTGTCAAACTGCAGTGGGAAGGCCAGAGAGGGTTGGGGGGCAGAAGGGAGGGGAGTAAGAGATCAACCGAAGGACTTGTATGCATGCATATAAGCATAACTAATGGACAT